CCTCCTGCCCATGTCCCCCACCGGGGATGCCAAAGTGATGAACTTTTCGTCCGGCACCTCCTCCAGCCCAGAAATGATCCAGTATTACTCTTAGCTTCCGCTGCTTCGCTATACTGCATGGGCGCCTGCGGTAAATCGTCAATCAACGTTGCCGACGGGAAACTCGTAGAGCGTCTGTCCGCGCAGAAGTGGTTGCAGCAGATTACGATTCAATCATAGCTCAGGAGGCCGCTCAGCTGTGGTGGCTGACGCATGCGGGCGGTGCCACTGGAACCGTCGGAAGGGGCTCCCCATGGGGCCACGGAGCGCTGTGCTGGGTTGTGGCTGACGCATGCGGGCGGTCCTACTGGGACCTTCGATGGAGTTCCCTGTGGGACCACGAAACGCTGTGCTGGATGGTTGCTGACGCATGCGGGCGGTGCCGCTGGGGCCTTCGGTGGAGCCCCCTCATGGGGCCACGAAGCGCTGTGCTGGGTGGTGGCTGACGGACAGAGCTCCCAAGATGGTGGAAGAGGCCCGAGAACAGAGCCCCCTGGTCGGTGCTGGGGTCGGGCCACGGGGGGGTCGGGCTGAAAATTGTCGGGTGGGGGGGCCCAAGAACGGAGCTCCCAGGATGGTGCGGGGGTCGGGCAGGTGGGGTGTCGGGCTCGTTTCTGTGCCAGGAAATCTTTTTCTTGGGGGGGCCCAAGAACGCGGCTCCAGGACGGTGCGAGGGACGGACCAGGTGGGGGGTCGGGGTTGGTTCTGGGCGAGGAACTGTCGGGTAGGGGGGCCCCAGAACGGGGTCCAAGGACGGTGGCGGGGTCGAACCAGGTGGGGGTCATGGGCGGTTCCAGTTAGGAAAGGTGGATGGGGCGCCGAGAACAGTGCTCGCAGGACGGTGCGGGGGTCAGAGTTGAGCGAGATACGAATTGTCGGGTGGGGGGAGGCCAAGAACAGAGCTCCCAGGATGGTGTGGTGGTCGGACCATGGTCGGGGTCGGTTCCTGGATTCCCAGGACGGTGCGGGGGTCGGGCCAGGTGGGATGTCCGGGTCGGTTCCGGGTTGGGAATTGTCGAGGGGGGGGGCTCGAGCTCCCAGGGCGGTTCTGGTGTCGGACCAGGTGAGGTGTTGGGGTCGGTTCCAGGCTTGGAATTGCCGATTGGGGGGGCCCAAGAACAACGCTCCCAGGGCGGTGCCGGGCCATGTGGGGGGTCGGGGTCGGTTCCAGGTGTCTAAGTGTCAGGTGGGGGGCCCAAGAGCGGAGCTCCCAGGATGAAGCGCCGGGTGGGGGGGCCCAAGAAGAGCTCCCAGGACGGTGCGGGGGTCGGGCAGGTGGGGTCGAGGTCAGTTCCAGGTTGGGAATTGTCGGGAGGGGGGCCCAAAACAGAGATCCCAAGACGGTGCGGGGTCGGGTCAGGGTTGGGGTCGGAGTCGGTTCCGGGCTAGGAATTGTCGGGTGGGGGGGCCCAGGAACGAAGCTCCCAGCACGGTGCGGGGGTCGGACCAGGTGGGGGGTCGGGGTCGGTTCCGGGTCAGGAATTGTGGAGTGGGGGCTGGAGAAAACAGTTCCAAGGACGGTGCGGGGTCGGGCCAGGTGGGGGGTCGGGGTCTGTTCCGGGCAAGGAATTGTCGGGTGGGGGGGCCCAAGAACAGAGATGCCAGGGCGGTGTAGGGGTCGGGCCAGGGTTGGGGTCGGGATCGGTTCAGTTTCGGAATTGTTAGGTGGGGGGGGCCAAGAACAGAGTTCGCAGGACGGTGCGGGGGCCGGACCAAGTGGCGGGTCGGGGCTCGTTCCGTGCGGGCAATTGTCGTGCGGGGGGGGTCCGAATAACAGAGTTCCCAGGACGGTGCTGGGGTCGGACCTGGTTGGGGGTCGGGGTCGGTTCCGGGTTAGGACAGGCTTGGGAGGGGCCCATGAAAAGGCCTCTCAGGGCGATCGGGGGGTCGGACCAGGTGGGGGTCGGGGTTGTTTCCGGGGGACGGTGCGGGGGTCGGACCAAGTGGGTGGTCGGGGCCGGTTCTGGGTGAGGGATTGCCGGGTGGGGGGCCCAAAAAACAGAGTGCGAGGGTTGGACCAGGTGGGGGGTCGGGGTCTGTTCCGGGCTAGGAATTTCCAGGTGGGGGGGCGCGAAAACAGAGCTTCCAGGACGGTGCAGGGGTAGAACCAGGTGGGGGGCCGGGGTCGGTTCCCGGCAAGGAATTGCAGGGCGGGAGTTCCAAGGACAGCTCCCAGGACGTTGCGGGGGTCGGGCCAGGTGGGGGGTCGGTCGGTTCCAGGTGAGGAATTGTCCCGTGGGGGGGCCCGAGCTCCCAGGGCGGTGCGGGGGTCGCACCGGGTGCTCGGGTGGGGGGCCCAAGCACGGAGATCCCAGGGCGGTGCGGGGGTCGGATCAGGTGGCGGCATGGTGGGGGGTCAGGGTCAGGGTCGGTTCGGGGCTGGGAGTTGTCGGGTTGAGGTGCCCAAGAACAGAGCTCCCTGGACGGTGCGGGGGTCGGAGGAAGTTGGGGGCCCGGTGGGGGTCAGGGCCGGTTCCGGGTTAGGAACTGTCGGAGGGGGGGGCCGCAGAAACAGAGCGTCCAGCACGGTGCAGGGGTCGGGCGCGGTGGAGACCTGGTGGGGAATCGGGGTGGGTTGCAGGCCAGAAAGTGTCAGGTGTTCCAAGGGGCAGAGCTCCCAGGACGGTGCGGGAGTCAGACGGGGTGGAGTCCTGGTGGTGGGTCGGTGGGTCGAGGAATTGTCGGGGGGGGGTCCGAGAACAGAGCTCCAAGGGCGGTGCGGGGGTCGGGCGACACTATCGTAGTATCACGTGTAAGCAGACATTTCCAAGTGAAAATTGTTCGCGTGGGGGGGCGAGCGGGGGGAAGTGCAGGGTGGAGGTTCGACGGGGGCACTACAGCATTATTGTGTGTGCGAAAACATCGTGTCTGATGGGGAAGGATGCCGCGCGCGCCTCTGGGGTGGGCGGCCTCGGATGGTGAGGCCAATGAGGGAGGATTATGATTGTGACTGGTCTGCGCGGCATTTGCGGCATTCGTGATTCCACGTGATGTTCTCCTATTGGCTCTCAGCGGGTGGTTCTCGGAACCCTTGTTTTGGCCACGACCGCGCGAGACGTTTTCGCATTTCTATGATTTGAGGGGTTGTACGGGTTCGACAGGGGGTCGTGGGAGTTTTGTTGGTGATGTGTTTCGTCCCATGCGACTTAGCATATTTCCCCGAAGGCAGGGGCGGCGTTGGTTCGCCGTGGGCGTTTTCGATGGGAACGCAGTTCTGGAGGCTTCGCGCTCTCCCACCAGCCCCAGACAGAATCGATGCACAGCGCGCGAGGTCCTGACATGTTCGAGCGTTCCGCGCCGAGTCTTTGTTGGGTCTGCGTTTTTGGTGTTTCGCCCTCTTGTGTCCCCCCCTTCCCTCTTGTGCTTCCCTGCTGCTTCCGCTGTCGTCGCTGGTGCTGTTGCCGTGTGCCCTCTCCTGCGTCTCCATTATTCCTCTGCTGCTGCTGCTGCTGCTGCTGCTGCTGCTGGTGGTCGGGTTTTCCCTCGCCGTGGGCCCCGAATCTGCTCGGGGGTTCGGTGTCTCGCGCTGGCTCGGAGGCGTGTGCTTCTGAGCTGGCAGCCCTGCCTCTCTTGTCTGCTTTCTGCTGCGAGAGAGTGCCTCCCTTTCCGCGCCCCGCCCCGCTCCGGCAAGCACATGGGCGGGGTGCTGAAGCAGCCTTCGCCCTCTCGGGGCGGTCGCAGAGTCTTGTCTGGTGTGCCGCGGGTAGAGCTTTGACCCCGTCGCCTCTGTGTGTTCAGCGGTCGTCACCTCTATGTTGCGTAACTGATTCGACTAAGTTGTGGCTGCGCACATCGGCTCGTCTCTTTTCTGTCTGCCCTTCGCCCGTGCGCGAGGTCCAAGCGAGTTCGAGCGTGCCTCCGCCCGTGCTTGCCGCCGCCCTCTTGGTGGCTACCGGGGTGTCTCAGGTGGCGCGCTTCGTGTATTGCCTGGTCGCGCCTTGTCGTCTCCTCTTCCCTCCTGCTCTGCGTGCTTTGTTGCCTTCGTGCCAACCCCGCACGGGCTCACATGGTTTGGCTTCGTTTGCGTCCGAAGCCTTGCGCGGTGTCAGTCCCGTGCTACGAGGTACGGACCTCATCGATTGTCACCCTGCTTTTGCCCATAGATGTCGTGACGAAAACTTGGAATCGTCATCATCATCAACAACAGCATCACCCACATCATCATCATCGTCATCGTCGTCGTCGTCGTCGTCGTCGTTATCAACGGCATCACCACCGCCGCCGTCATCAGTTTTGCCACCGTTGGCATCATCATCATTACTTATCATTATCGCCACCACCATCATAGTCGCCATCATCATCATCATCATCATCATCATCATCATCATCATCATCATCATCATCATCATCATCATCATCATCATCATCATCATCATCGTCGTCACCGTCAGTGCCACCGTACCGTCACCGTGACTGTCGTCGTCATCATCCCCGCTGCCGTTATCGCAAACGTCACCACGTTCGCGTCGATAGTATCACCAGTGTCTTCATCACTCGCCCACACGTTTCATGGGTTTGCATGATAGGGTTTCCTGCGCCACCCGCGCGTTTTTACGCCAGTTGAGTTTTGCCAACATGTCGCAGGTGTGTGAGTTAGTGAATGGGTGAGATACTTATTCGAACGTTGGAGTTGACGATGGGTATAGAATTTTGTCACGCGCGATGCAAGGTGGTGATATGTACCCCGTAGATGGCGCCGCACAGGTTGAATCACATACGTTGGTATACGTATAATTTGCGTTTCGCAGGTTGCACCATGCACAGACTTCGCCACAAAATATTGTTCATCGAGGGAGCGCAAGGTTCAAGCAGGCAAGCCTTTGCAGACCAAGCGACAAGTCGGGGCCGGGAAAACTGACAGAGGAACGGAAGAGTGAGGCGTGCGCGCGGGGACCACCTCTGGCGGACGGCGTCTCCCAAGGGGCGAGGCGCAACGACCCGCGCGAACGTTTCCGCTGCAGCGGCCCTGCAGCCCCGCGGGCCCGCGGGACGCGCGGCCCGGGCCGCTACGGGCGCGGTTGGCGGGCAGGGCCCACGCGGGAGGGTCGGAAGCCGGGCTTCCCGCGTGCTCCGCCTCCGAGGGGATGGGGCCGGGCCGTTCTGGGCCCCCTGCGCCCCTGGCCGCTGCCGGCCACGGGCTTTGCTGGCAATGCCACGGTTGTCCCAGAGGGCCCTCCCAGCTCCGAGCTGGCGAAAACATCCGTTCGAAGGCAGTTGGGCCTTTCGGAAAGGCTCCTTGGAGGTCGGGCCTCGTGGAGCCCTGGGAGGCCCACGAAGGGACGCGGCACACTGGGAGCCCGGGGATCCAGCGCCACAGGACGGGGCAGCTAAGTCTGGGTCTATGAGGTCTCGGCTTGTGGGGGTGCCAGAGGGTTTTGAGCTTCACGACAAGGTCTTGCAGGAATCGGAAGCGGTTGGGGGTCGCGAGGAGGTTCTGCAGAGGTTGGGGTTCGAGTCGCGGGCTGGTTTTGTGCTGACGTGTAAGCAGTTGGTGTGAATGCGCAGATCGTGTAAGTTCCATCGGATGACGAGTTAGATTTTTGAGCGGAGTTTCGCAGTCCCAAGGCCCATGAGACTCGCCCCTGCCTTCCCGGGAGGCCGTATCCCTGACAGGGAACTTGATGTTTTTAGTGCCAGCCTTTCGATTGTTGTTGCTGCTGTTGTCATTGCTAAGGGGAGGACCATGGCGCGGCGGACCGCATTGGCGATGCCCACGGGAGCGATTGACAGGAATGCCTCCCTCCAGTTACTGCTGTTTGGGCTTGCGTGATATGCAGAAAGAACGACTCTCTCTTGGTCCTCGAGCTGTAGCTTGAATATCAAATAGCTCCATGGCTGCTGCTCCTAAGGTGGCATGCGATATCTCAATGGTCTTGAGGTGGCCCAGGAGGATACCCATGGCGTGTAGTTTGGCAGCAAGTCAACGCATCCGTGGTCTTTGCGATAAGGTTTGATTATCTTGCCGCTGTTACTCTCGAGGTGGGATGTGAGATTGTAAGAGCGTTGGGACGGTCGAAGAGGAGTGACACGTTTTGTGCTGTCTGGTAGCCTCATGATGCTGTCTTGGCATCACTGCGAAGGCCAGAGTTTCCACTTACCACCCGGTCGAACCAGGCACTCCGCGGAGCCAGGACTGTTGGATGCGGGGTGAGGACTGTTGGACGATGATTGTTGGCTGCGGAACTCCGCGGATCTGGACTGCAGGATGAGTCTTATCCCGTGTGAACCCTTTGAACTCTTCATTCTGCTGGATTGCAAGTGCTTCCTGAGGAAAAGAGGGATAATAGTGCTTGATCGAGTTGACGTGAATTGCCGTGCCCAGGTGGTGCCAGCACGTGCAAGCCGAGGTGAACCATATCGCTGAGGCATGGGCTCACCGTGGGCTTCAGAAACACATTGCTTTCTCGATTGCAGTAACATGCTCTGCGGTGCACCGCGAATGACAGCCTTTGTGAAGTGGCCGTGCCTGCCCGCATGTTTGCCAGCGCCACCTTTTCTGATAATTCCATGTCTGGCTTTTGATGTTGCGGCACCCTTGCGTGCTCGTGACGTCGTGGCTGCTGCAAGGTGACCGGTTTCGTGAATTTCGACTTGAGATACGACGAGGAGCTACATGCGAGCCCTATTCTGCAAACGAGCCTCCCTTGCATCCATGCTGTGTCTCGTGCCCTAACGTGTTTTGATATTTTGATTGCTTCTCTCTTTCCGATCCTTGTCTTTCTCCCCCCTCCCCCCCCGGCTACCTCCTTCCCCTCCTCTACCCTTTGGCCAACCTCGCCGCTTTTGCCACAGGCGTGCCCACGAGGCGAATGCCTCCGCCTATGCATGCCCTGCTCCAGCCCCTCGCCCGACTCGTCGCCCGAAATTCTTCTCCCTGCGGAGGTGACCAGAGCATCCTGGTTGAGGACGTTCGCTCTCGTTGACTCTCCTCTCTCTCTGTTTCCCCGTACGGCGTCTCCGTAAACGCCCCAGTGCCGCCGGCTCTTGCGGTTGACCTTCGGGAACTTGGTACTTCTCGCGTGATGCTGGCGCATCTCTGTCTTCGCTCGCACTCCACCCCGCTGGGATCACCCTGTTTCCTTACGCGGGGTACTGGCATTCATGGCCAGGATTTACAGGGGCGCATGGTGACTCCAGAGCACTACATCATCACGTTCACTAGCCGCGACAAGGGCAGAATGAGGCCACCAGCATGATCAAACTGTCTTTCTTTTCCTGGGGTGTGAGACCCAGGCACCGCCAGAGGTTTCGAGTGCGTGCTCATAGTTCGGGTTCCCTGCATGCCGTTTCCACCCATGCTCCTGGAGCAATTTGTCATGCGTTGGTTCCATCAGGAGGAAAAGGAGGAGGGGAGGAGGAGGAGGAGGAGGAGGAGGAGGAGTAGGAGTAGGAGGAGGAGGAGGAGGAGGAGGAGGAGGAGGAGGAGGAGGAGGAGGAGGAGGAGGTGTTGGTTGCTCTGTTTCGAAGCCACTGTTGTGGGCTCTCTGGGAAAGGAACGGCTTGCTCCCCCATGGCAGTCGGCATGCGCTCGCCCTGTGTTTGTGGCGCTCTTCAGGGGAGGCCACAGTGCCTTGTTTCGTGGCCCAGTGCCTCTGCAAGAGGAGCGGCACAGCATGGCGTCGACGTCCATGCGACTGCGGGCAGAACTCTTCAAGCTTCCGGTAGGAGAAAGCGTTGCCGTCGTGGTGACGCGGCGGCGACTCCGACCCAGGCGTTCAAGGTTGAACACCGCCCGTTCTCCAGAATCGGGCAAGCGATCGAAAAGCCGCCGATCGTTCAAAGTTGAGCGATCCACGCTGTGTCAGAACTCAACGCTGGAATCGTCACGACACCAACCTGCCGTATGTCTGTTGCATGCCGCATCTCTTTGCCACCAGGTGTGTCGCTGCGGCATATACGATACTTAGTCAGTGTTCGAAGTGTCCGCACGAATTAGGCGTCTTTCTTTCGTTTCTGATCATAAGGGGGGAGTCGCAGATGTGGAGGGCGAGGGAGCGGGACGGGAAGGGAAAGGGAAAGATGAAGGAGGGCGGAGATTTTGTGGCCCCTGGTTAACAGGGAGCGCCGTGGTCCCTCTGCGGACGACCATCGAGGGAAGGCAGTGCGGGAGCACCTTGGCCTCCTTATCGACACTGTTCCCTCTCCCATCCCAGCTCGCGACGGTGTCCCCGGGTGTCGATGGTCTGTGTCCAGCTCCCCGGGGTCGGGGGTCTGCGTCCGGCTGCCCCAGGGGTTTATTCTCTTGCACAGGGTGTCTAGAGCTCCGACCACTCTATTTCGGCGTCGCTCCGCCCACCCCCTCCCCGCCCCTCCAGCCCCTCAACCCACCCACCCGCGCCAACCACCACCACCAGGGTGACACCGCCCCCCGTCCAGTGCTCTCCACCCAGCCCCCCTCCGCCCCGACCACTTCATACACCAACCACCACCACCAGTAGCGTGACACCGCCCCCCGCCCAGTGCCCTGTCCACCCCGCCCCCCTCCGCCCCGACCACTCTGTACACCAACCGCCACAACCACCAGCGTGACACAGCCCCCCGTCCAGTGCCCTCTGCACCTCGCCCCCCTCCGCGCCGACCACTTGATTTCGGCGCCGCACCGCCCCGCCGCCCCGCCCCTCCCGCCCCTCCACCCACCCATCCACACCAACCACCACCACCAGCGTGACCCTGTCCGCCCCGATCACTTCATTTCGGCGTCGCACCGCCCCCCGTCTAGTGCCGTTTCAACCCCGCCCTCCTCCGCCCCGACCACTTTATTTCGGCGTTGGACGGCCCCCGCTGTCCCGCCCCCGAGGCCTTTCCTCCCCTCCCGCCCGCCCAGTGCACCCCGCCCCCCTCAGCCCCGACCATTTCATTTCGGCGTCGCGCCGCCCCTGTCGCCCCGCTCCCCCCGATCCTTCTCAGATTTTTGCCCCCCCCCCCCCCCCCCCATCCATCCTCCTCCCCCCTCCTCCTCCTCCTCCTTCTCCTCCTTCGCCCTCCTCCTTGTGCCAGAGCCATGGCACGCGTGCCACTTGTTGTCGAGGTGCATGCGCTCGCCTCAAAGCCGTCGGCCAATTCTCACCAGCCCCGGTCCCTTTAGCAGAAACCGTCTGGAGAGAGTTTCGGGCTCCTCGGCATCGTACGTGGGGGGCAGTGCTGGATAGGGACCAGGATGAGGCTGCTGGCCATCACCCCAGTATCGGGAGGCAAACTGGGGCGTTGCCAGCAGTCGGGATCTCGTCAAGCTCCAGTTGCTGGAGCTTTCGAATCCCACCCGTGGTGGGGTGCCGAGAATGGCGCCGATGAGTCTGCCGCAGCTGGCGGTGCGCAGGCATCACAGCTCACTGCTGTCGCTGCGGATCGTGCAGGACCATACGCTGCCGGAGGAGGTCCAGGCGGGGGACGCCGCTCCCGTGTCGCCCCTTTTTTGGGGGACCAGGGGTTCAGTATCCAGCTGCCCGCGGCAAATTTCGTCACCGTGCCAATTCAGCACTGGGTGGCGACTGTTCGAGGAGCGCGCAGGAGGTCGTGTCGTGTGACACCTCGTGGCCCGAGGCTTGGGCGAGCTGTAACATGCGCACTGGTCTTCTGCGACGTGTCGGGATGTCTCTCCTCGTGTTCGTTGTCGTCTTCCTCCCTTCCTCTTCTTCCCTCCTCTCGTGGCCTTGTTCGGGGCCTTTGGGAGGCCTCTTGGCGGCTCCTTGGGCCGGCCGAGCGCGCTCTTGGGCAATCTGGCGCCTTCGGACTCCGTTTTTTTGGCCTCTCTGCTGGCTCGGGGCCCGAAGGGTCGTCTTGAGTCTTAGTGGTCTCTTCGGTCGTTTCGGGGCTTCCCTGGGCCATCTTGGGGCCGTCTTAGAGGTCTCTTGGGCCGTCTTGAGGCGCCTTGGGCGGACGGACGCCGCTCGAAAAGGCGATAACGCGGACGGACAGACAGACAGCAGCCAGGCGCTAAACAGCGCATAGGCGGAAACATCGCATCACAGCATGGCATGTCTGAGCTGAGCATCCGGAAGGACGCGTGGGCAGAAGAGTGCACGATTGGCAGCTCTTCCTGAAAATCTAAAGTACACCCGCTCGACTGTGAAGCAGAAAAGCGGTGCGGATCTCGACTGTGAAGCAGGAAACATGAGAGGAACGGGAGGGGAGGAGGACGAGGAAACGGGGAGGGACCACATCAGGACCATTGTTGCGGGAGAACCTTGTAAACACACGAAGCCCGCTGTTGCTTTGGTCTGCCTCTCTTTCGGCATTGGTCCCAGACCCGAGGTAAATATGATCTGGGCTGACATGTGAGAATTCGCAACGGGTGGTCTTCTGACAACCCTGCGATCTTGTTGTATAGCGAAGTCTCTCACAAATCGTCTTGCGGAGAATACGGGCTCGGCATATGTTCAAAACTTGGTCGTTTGACACTCTCAACGAATATTAATGACAAACACTAATGATACCCTAGAAGAACCCCATTCATAATCTTTTTGGGGCTATGCATTTGGGCTATGGGGCTATAGGGCTATAGGACCATAGGGCTTTAGGTCTATAGGTCTACATGGCTATAGGGCTACAGGGCTAAAGGCATATAGAGCTATAGGGATATAGGGCTATAGGGCTGTAGGGCTATAGGGCTATAGGGCAATCAGGCTCTAGGGCTACAGGGCTATAAGGACTATAGGGTTATAGGGCTATAGGGCTATAGGGCTATAGGGCTATAGGGCTATAGGGCTATAAGGCTATTAGGGCAATAGGGTTACAGGGCTATAGGGCTATAGGGCTATAGGGCTATAGGGCTATAGGGCTATAAGGATTTAGGGCTACTGGGCTATTGGGCTGTAGGGCAATGTGGCCATAGGGCTATAGGGCTACATGGCTATTGGGCGATAGAGCACCCGGGCACCCCCGGGCACCTCCGGGCACCCCTGGGCACCTTGGGGCACCCCCGGACACCCGGGCACCCGGGAACCCGGTCCGGCCACCGAAAATGGTGACGAATTTCACTCAACCATGAATCCGCTAGGACCCCTACAGAGGCAAGCTCTGATTGGGAAATGTGGAATGCGTCAGATACGCCTTTGGCACTTCGCTTGGGAACTATATAATCTTTTCTTGTCTGCTTTTAGAAGCCAAAGTGCGCTGCTATTGGCAAGCATTGTATCATCTGCGTATAGAATGTCCGGGCAAACTTGGAATTCTGGTTCAGCGACATCTGTGCGCGCGCCCTCCACAGCGCGATCAACATCGACACACATCACGCTCTGCACGATAATCAACAAATGTGGCGAGAGGGGGCAGCCTAGTTCTATGCCTGATGCTTGGCACCGCTGCGACGAATTACTTGCGGAACCCCGCAAAATAAATTGGCGAGCTGAGTAAATGCTTCCTATCATGTCCACCATCTGCTGTGGAATGCCAAACCTTGTAAGAGCTCGAATCAACATGTCGTGCTTTACCTGATCAAAGGCTTTCGCCCAATCTAAGTACACCGCGGTGAGCCCAGGGGCTTTCGCTGCTTGCGCTACACCATGCTTCTCACATTAGCTATGGCCGGAAACCAAATTGCGAGTTCCGTATTCGGCTCTTCGCACCTCTGCAATGCAAGCGTTTTGGATCATCCACACCAGGATTTTGTAGGCAATGGGCAGTACAAATATCGTCTTGTAATTCTCAGGCAGACTAGTGTCCCTTTTTTGTGCAAGAGGGCGACTGCAGCTATCTTGCGTCCCAGCACCGCTGGTAGAGAGACAGCAAACATTGCATTGCTTCTGAATCAAACCACAAAATACTCATAATATTCAGGAGGCACTTCGTCAATGCCTGCAACTTTACCTGTGGACAGAGCTCTAAGAGCAGCTGACAATTCGCGAATGAGAAACGCAGCAGTATTTACAGGGAGGCTTTCTCCCATCAGGGGTTTCTGCTCGACCACAGGGTCAGGAAAGCTCACTACCCCCTGCACTTTTGCAAAATAGTCGGCCAAGGTGTCTGCTCTACGATCGCTGTCCACTAGATGCCCGTGCGCATCCTGTATTTGGACAGGTTTCTTCGCTTTGCTTTTTCTCAGCTTGCGTACGGCGCTCCAGATTCCGCTGGCCACCTGGTCGTCCAGCCACTTCCTTTTTGTCTTCCCGGACACTCGCCCAGATGCGCTTGGTCAGTGCATGTTCGCAGTGTTCCGCATGGTCACGTTCTTCTAGTAGAGCCAACGTGGCGCGTGATATCCATGGTTTGTGCGCCGATCTCCGAGTAAGCGTGAGGACAGTTGACGCTGCGAGCATCGCCTCGCTTACCCCGGAAGCATGTTCCTTGATCGTGGCTGCCTTCTCATTGGTCGTCTCGTTAGCTTCGCAGAAGTACCGGCAGAACTGCGCCTGGATCGCAGTATCCGACAGAAGTTCCCGGATATCCAAACTCTTCTTGATCTTATTTTTGTCCATTGTGTGTGAGTCGATGCCCAAGCATGCAATTAAAAGGACATGTCTGCTCGCAATGGGCACTCCGAATGCACATCAAGTATTTTCCCCCAAAGTGGCTCATCAATCAGGCAAAGGTCTGTTTGAGCAAAATTTTCCCCTTCCACTGCCTGACTTGTCTTTTAGGCGTGCGTGCCGTAGTATGTGATGAGCTTGCCGACCTCGTGCGGGAAGAATTAGCTAGCAAACTTTACTTCAGATACCCGACAGGACCGACAGGGTTCGAGCACAGGTCTCTATGGAGTCGGTCTCGACGTGTTGGCCAAGCGTTGCGGTAGAAATAACTCCCCATGTTATTTTCGTCACCCGGCTTTTGTTGATATAGCGGGGCATTGAAATCTACCATCGCGCTCGCGCCGTTATGTGCTCCATGCTGCGGCCACGCCGCTGTAAAGTCGTTAAACCATGTCTGCCTTTGTTCATAGTCGTATGCGGCGTGTGGCGCGTAACACGTACATACAGTTAGAATCCCACCAGATACTTTGATATTCATATTTGCCATCCTATCAGAGATCAGCCTGAAACTGACGACCGCTTTAGTTGCCCATTGGGCAGTTAAGAATCCAACTCCAGAGTATGAGCGCCCAGTAGTTTCCACTGACGTGTCAGCGAAGATTATCAAGAACCCCGAGTCGACGAAATGCTTGGACTTCTTAATGCCTGTCTCCTGAATGCAAAGTATATAAATTGTATGTTATTTCATGTGGTACTGCAGTTCTGGTAGTTTAGCTATGTCGTTGCCTACACCTTCCGCATTCCAAGATGCCAGTTTCGGACAATTCAGCGGGTAACACAACTTCTTGGGGCAACCCCATTGCTTGCCCACGCGTGGTTTCCCACGATTGTCGCCAAGATAATGGTCACCTAATGGTGAAGATGCCGAGGGATAAGCAGTAAGAGGATCAGTGCCGGTGCTTGGTGAAAACTTCTGTCGCTGTATGTACGCCCATGCCAAAGGGCGTACGCGTATAGTCGTCTGGACAATCATCCAAATCGAAATTGTTGACGCTTCGCGAATCCCCACCAGCTTAGGCCGCTGTCGTGACCCGTAGCGCTTCTGACTCCGCTAGCGCCTTCGCTGGTGGACGCGACCGAAAAAAGAATCCCCACAAGCCCATCCAGAAACGATGCCCAGAGGAAGTGCCTCGATCAGGGAAGTGGGCAGCACACAGAGGAAGCCATTATGAGACATCTTGGGATATTTTGAGCCATCTTGGAGGTCATTTTGGGCTCTGCCAGGCGCTCTTGGAGTCATCTTAATCAGCGCCCCCCCCAAGAGGCCAACATGTGGCTAAAACCCTGGTGAAATCAATGATTTGGCATTCTCGCCGAGGCCTCTTGGAGCATCTTGGGTGCCTCTGGGGGGTCTCTTGGGGCCTCTTGGGGGTCTCTTGGGGGCCTCCTGGGGGCCTCTTGGGGGCCTCTTGGGGCCATCTTGGAAGGGTAAGAGGTGGGAGATTGGGTATGTGATGGTACGTGTAGGTGAGTGCGTTCACGAAGAGGCCGAGGAACTTCTTGCCGTAGTGGCTGGCTGGCTGGTAATTAGCTTTGCCCTGTCCTGTCATCGATCGCGCCGGCATCAGTGGTAAAACCGTCGTCTTCAGTGACCCCTATTCTGGGCCATGTCCTATGGCTCATTCCTTGCCCTTCCCTTCGTCATGCCTGTGCTCCTTCCCTTCATGCCCGCCGTCGTTTTGGCCACTAACTTGTCCGAGTTGCTCTGGAGCTCAACTGCCGCGGGGCTGTTGTGGAGCTTACGCCAATCCGCCCATGCACCATGCCACTCGTAAACGACCTTATCCGGAAAAACGTGTGTGGTCAGGGCCATCTCGCCTCCGACCGTCAACGTGTAAGGTGTTTCGTCGCTCACGGTGACCGTGTAGGGAATGCCCCACTCCTTTTTGAAAGCCCGCTTCAACCCGAAGTTTCTG